GTAGGTTAAATTAATTTTTGTCCAAAGAATTGTATTTTAAAATGTAATTGTGATACCGACTACAGATGTATCTTTTCGATCTTCGTCGACAATAAACTGCAGTTTCCTGGAGAAAAAAAACATTTAATCGACAAAAACCGATAGGTACCAAATTGCCTGTGTGTGTTTTTATTTAACAAGAATAATTGTAAGTAGAAACAAATTAAGAATTAAAAGAATAAAAAATAAATATTCAATAAAATAGTATTCAATAGTAAAAAAAAGTATTTTAAATACCATTCAAATACTTCAAAATAAAAAGTATTCAATACGGAAAAAAGTATTTGAATACTTTTACTCAAATAGGTAGGTACTTTACAACACTGGTTATAGGCTGATAAATAGTCTTTGCTCATCAATCTTTTTTCGTATACAATGATTTTGTATCATTGAATTCAAATTTAACACAACCATTACAGCGACTCTCTAGACACCTAATGTACAGCAAAGCGTACCTACATAATGTTTTTCTGATTCATAATAAAAAATATAAAATAGTAAATTAGACAATAATATGTAGGATCAATTTTTAAAAGTATTTACTCGTTAAAAAAAAAAGAATATGAAACAATTAATGGAGTCTGGAACCCACTCTAATTTTTAAATTTTTCAATGCAAGCTTAAATCATTGAATCTGCAAGCGTTGGAAAATATGTTGGTCTTTTAGATTCTGAGTGGAATGATGAATGTATTGATTTTACAATGATGTGTGTTTTTATTTTTAATTTTTTAATTTTTTTTGTGTCACCTTTTAGGAGAGTAAAAGTGCTTGGATTTTCTTCAACAGTATCTTTTCTATTAGGAAAGTGAATCTAGTTGGTACTTTGAGGGGTGAAAAGTAAAATTTTCCAGTAGTTTTCAAAAGCTCCGTGAAAATTATGGAAAAACTAGAATTTTTACACAAAATCTGTTTTCGAAAAAATCTATTTTGGTTTTTGGTGCAACTCTTAAACAAATGACCGTACATGAAATTTTGACTGGATGTTTATAATAGCATTTTCTATACACTGTAACATTTTCCAAATAGTTGACTTATTTCGAGCTCTTTATGGACATTTTCAGTTTTAATTTAATTTAGTTTTTTTTTTCTATAAATATCAATAAAACTTTATTTGTTGGTTAAAAAAGCTTGAAAATTTAATAGAAGGCTTCTAGTATATTGTTTCAAAGGCAGATGAAAATTAAAATTAAAAATCCATAGCCACAATTTTTTTTATAATCATTTAAAGTTCACATATTGATAAGATCAGTGGCGGCGGGATATAGGATTATTTCATATTTGAAGCAATTGCTCCATGTTTGAAATGGGTGGGTGGATGTATAAATATATATATAATCGTGAGACCTCAATAAAAATATCATGGCAAATTTTATAATTATAAATTATTAATGGCCCCTGCTGCTAGTTTTGGTTCAATGAAGGGTACGGTGGTAAAAATATTTAAAATATACAATATGCTTCAAAGCCTACACAATTTCCCGCCACCACTGGACAAAATACGTAAAAATGACGAAAATTTTCAAATTATTTTGAGTTTGAAATTCATAAAAATTCTTCTTTTTAAATCCAAGATTTGAAAATGTAATACAAGATTATTCATAAGTTTGTCTATCTTTATAAAAAAAAAATGTCTTCAAGCAAATCTTATTAAGTTTTTATGAGGGTTTGAATTTAATATTTTTACAATATCCGATATTCACTCGATTTCTCATGTAGCGATTTTCTTATTTTGTTGTAATTCAAAAACGAATAACTGTAGATACATGAAAATTTCACTGAATGTTCATTTTATCAATTGTTATACTTGATAAAATTTTTAAAATATTTTGACTTGTTTTGAGCCGTTTACGGACAGTTTCATATTTAAATTTTTTATTTTTTTTTTCTATGAATATCAATAAAGTTTTATCTGTTGAGCCAAAATGTGTAAAATGTTAATACAAGGCTTCTGATATATTGTTACAACTTACAAGCAGTTTAAAAATATTAAAAATACATAGGCACAATTTTTATTATAAGCATTTAAGATCGAATTTTGACAAAATTTAAAATTGAACAATTATTTTGTAGTTAAAAATTTAAAACAAAATTCCACGTAGGTAGTTTATTTTGTTACCAAAAAATCTAAAAAATACATAAGCACAGTTTATTTTGATAGTCGTTTTGAGTTCAAATCTGGACGAAATTGCATTATAAAAAAAAACCAAGAATAACTACTTTAGTTATTTTGTTGTGATTGTATAATATAATTTGTGGGTACTTGAAACTTCTAAAGTACACTATTATATATCTATGATAGTATCAGGGTTTGTTGTTGAAATACACGTTATACACGCGTTATAAGTACCTAATGGCTAATGGGTATTATGATATGATTAATTTGGAATTTATTATAGGTCAATTTTTTTTAATACCATAGATTAGTATATAATATGTCTTATACTGGCATACCGTATCCGCTCAGAATCGTTTTTCTTAAACAATGATATTACATCATTGAATTCAAATTTAATACCATCCATTATACAGTGACCCACTTGTAACCTACTGTACAGCAGAGCGACTTTTTTTACATTGGAAGTTTATCAAAATTGTACAGTTATTTGATTTTTTCAATTACCTAGTATAAATAAATAAATAAGTTCATGATGTTAGAATTATGTACAAATTGAATAAAATGTTTTTACAAGTTCTGTACAGAAAATAAGTTTTATGACATTGTCATCCTTTACTTGGGAAAAACATTTATATAAGTTTATTTTTATCATCAAGATATAATGATTGGTTTCATGCAAGGACGTGCAAAAAAAAAAAATTTGGGGGGGTTCATAATTTATGTATATAAATAAATTACACAACTATTAATTTTTTTTTAACCCTCCTTATGTATATGTACCTGGTTACATGAATGTTTTAAACTTAGAAACACATAGTGATTTTTAAAATATAAGAATGAAAGAATATAAATTGATGAGCATATTAAGTATATATATAGGTATATTTATATATTTAATCAAACACCAACAAATACACAGCATAAGCATAAAAAATACATTGCATATTAAATATACTGTCATGGCATGTTACGTCAAGTATCATTAAGTGCAAAGTATGTACCATAGTAAAGATATTGGTTAATAAAATATTTTATATAAAAATAAATATTAATTTAGATTTAAAATTAGATATTACATTATACTAGTATAATAACATACAAATTATTAGTAACAAATAATTGTGCACTTCAATCAAATCGGTATTAGCAAATCAAAATAAAAATGAAAAAAAAAATACATGAAAGTACAATATAAACTATTAAATTTTAAATAAGGTAAAATAATATTCACAACTAATAAATGGCTAATAAATATTAATTCATATACAACAATATTTTTTTTTACTAATATATTTACATTTTTTGTTCGACGAAAAAAATATATGGTAATTAAATTAAATTATTTGGCATTAAAAATACACCTTCAATAAATCATTCTGAAAAATGATAATAGGTAATTTTAAGTATTTTGTAAACAATTTACAGACATGTTGTATAATTAAATGATACTGACTAGGATTTACTGGAATATCTTCAATAAAATCAATTAAAGCTTATATAGCATTATATTATTCTTAGCATACACGTGTACTTTAGTCCATTTACGTAAGCGTATTTATCAGCAGTATACTACACAAGATGCCATGGGGCCTATTACCTTTACCACTTAACAGGTTTAATTTAAAGTGTCAAATCCAGCATCTCAGCAGCTGTAAAGCATATGTTTATAATATTATTATGTTAATATCGTATGGACATACTGAAATGCAACCATCATCTGGACAACTTACTACAAATAGAAACGATAGCAGCGTGCCTGCTCAATAGGCAACAGCAGTCAGATTATAGTAGTGGAAAAGGGTATATGTGACGTAACTGAGCTAGAAAAATTGTTTGCACTCGAAAAGTACTCTTAACGCAAATGTATTAAAATTTAAATAATAAAGAAAAACATGTAGCTATTTAAAATTACTCAAATTGATTAATAAACAAAATATAAATATATATCTGTGAAAATGTTATGTATTTTAAATATTAATAAATTAGTAAACTATATAGTTTTTTTTAGTATTTATAAAAGGGCAACTAAAGGTACGGTTTCATTAACTCAGTCGACTGCATGACTGAGCACCAGTAGTCTGCAGTCGACAGCACAGATATTTTGTATGACTGCTGCAGTCAACTTCGGAAACGAAACCGTACCTTAAGTAGAATTAATTGTCAGTTAAGTTTATAGATTTAAATTGAATTGTTAATCTTAACACAATTAGACTATTTTAACTATGGAATATTTTAATATTTTTACATCAATCAAGTGATATTCCAAGGAAAAGTGAAAAAAAAGTTTAGAGTTAAATAAATATGAAATTACGAAAAAATAAAACTATAGTTTACTTTTCGATTTTGAACCCTCAATTATTTAATGCCTAGCCTCGAATATAACTATATTGTTTTATAGTTAAGAATATAAATAGTAATCTCAGGTGAAAGGCTTCTGCGCCCGCGGAGGCAATTAAATGAGTATGGCTGCGTTAGCTAAGTGCCAGGCTAACAGCGAGAACCAATTTAATCAAGGGCACAAATTGGTTGTCACCTGAAGTTACTTTTATATGACACAGAGTATCACATTACTCAAACTAGTGAAGCAACAATTTAAAAACAAATATTATGAAATTATGGTAGGTATCTTTTTACAATTAAAAAAAACATGAACTATGATTGTTTTCAAACTGTTTTCACAAACTAGAATGTATAAAAAAAATATTTAAAAAAAATGTTTTATGTAAAGATTCAAGGATTCAAGATTTTAAATTTAACTATTTAAAGTTAAAATAGTAACAAATAACTGCATGGTTTCTGTTATGGTTATAAAGTAAAATATTATACATAATTTTATAATGGAAGTTAACAAAGTCCAATTCCATCATCTTCTAAATTTCCTCGTTTTTCATAGAACATGACATCCTAAAAATATGAAGTAATAATCAATTATTAAAGAAAATGTCAAGATATAAATACACATTTAACTTACTATCAAAAAACAAGCTCCTAGCATAACAGCTTTCATACGGACATCAAGATCAATAGGAAACGTAATACCAAAGAAATCGGCATCAGTAAATACTTCCCTTAAGAGTCCAGACCATTGTTTGGATATACGGCCAACTACAGTGGTTTTGTCCTTCGATAATATCTGAAAAACATTATTATGTGATTAAAATATTAAATTCTTATACTCTAAGATAGAGTATTAAGTATAATATACAAACTATTTAGTTAGTCTGATTAAAAATTTGAATAATTACTTTAAATTCAACATCTGCGCCGCAAATACTATATCGACATATTGGTCCTTCGATTTTTAATACTTCTTCATTAGCTGCATTACGAATGGTGAACATTGGTGTTAAAATTGACCAATCTTGTTCAACGGTTCCAACCAAACACCCAGGTGGAGAAAATACTTCAATGCTCTGTTGTACAATTTTAAATTATAACAATAAAAACAAAATCGAATAATGATCAAGTTTTTGTAATTTTTATTTTTAACAATAACTTCTAAAAAGTAATATACTAAGATTTCTTTATTTTACTCCCTCCCACCCCTTTAAAATACCAACTAGATCTAATTTTCTACCAGATACCACAATCAAAATTTAAAAGCTTTTGTACTGTTCCTAAAAGACTAAAACACACGTTATGAAAAAAAAATTTTAATTAGCAAGGGTTTAATACAGCATTTAATCAGAATTTAATAAATAAATTGGACCATGTATTATATTTTAAAAGAAATAAATTGACACAATGGACATAAATTACTATGGCCTGTCTGGGTTTGGACAAAAGTTTTAGATACAACTGTGTTTGTATCATTTCTTTGCTATCCATTTATAAGAAGGTATTAACATTTAAATTTTTATTATTATTATAGTACACGGAACCCAACTGATAAAAAAGAATGGAACCGAGTTAGCAAAATTCTTCATGACAAAATCAAAGAAATTAAAAATGAATCATTCAGATCATACGTGAGTGGTCCCACTGCGACGGATAATACCGATTATTCGTTATGGAAAGCCATAAGACTCATGAAGAGGCCCAGAGTTCAGATACTACCCCACTGTAAGGAAGACCGCACCTGGGCACGCAGCAAACAAGAAAAAGCCGGAATTTACGCTCGGCATCTTGAACATGTATTTATGCCAAACATCATATACTAAACATATTGACTCTGAGCTCGACATTTTGCAATGCCAACCACTTTAATGCAACACGTGAAAAAATTAAATATTTCTTGCCAAAAAGATCACCAGGCTATGATGAAATTAGTCAAAAAATACTGAGAGAACTTCCAAAGAAGGCTATCATTCATCTTCCACACATATACAACGCTATTTTGAGGACGAAATACATTCTAGAACAATGGAAACGGGCACAAGCTATCATGTTGCTCAAACCAGGAAAACCACCTGAAAATGTCGTATCATACCAATCGATATCACTCCTTCCAAGCTTATCTAAACTTTAGAGAAACTTCTGCTCAAACGCCTAAAACCGATTATAGAGGAAAATAAATCTTATACCAAAACATCAGTTTGGATTTCGTAACAAACATTCAACAATCGATCAAGTACATCGAGTTACTAATGTGATTAGTGAAGCTCTTGAAGACAAAAAGTACTGCTGTGGTGTATTCCTTGACGTACCCCAGGCTTTTGACAAGGTCTGGCACAAAGGATATCTCATCGAACTGCGTGATCAGCTGCCACATACCTGGTGTGCACTTCTTGAATCATACTTGACCGACCGTCAATTTCGAGTTATACACGAAGAAGCGATAGCCGAATGGAAAGATATATCAGCTGGAGTACCGTAAGGTAGTGTTTTAGGACCTATTCTGTACCTACTCTATACGGCTGATATACCAAACGATGATAACATAACATTAGCTATGTTTGCCGATGATACGGCAATTTTGTCAACATTTAATAGTCAGCTCACTGCAACTGATAACTTACAGAGGTCAATTGAAAATGAAGACCAATGGCGATAAATGAGTGCACGTTAACTATACGTTAAGCAAAACCGAAAACATCCAAAAAATTATTATTATTAGGTAATATTAGACATATAGTTTTTCAAATTATACACATTTTGCTTTATTCCACAGGCGTTTTTTTGACCCTAGATTTCAAACACAGTGTGGGCAAAATTGAAAGTATAATAAAATTCAACTTTCCCCCAAAAAAAAATGTTTATTTAAGATTTTCAAAACATAAGCAGTATTTTGTTTTAAATTTTCTGTCTCCAAATAGAACCGACTTTATAACCAAATAGATCCAGATATTATTTTTAATATAAACATATCATTATACCTGTAAACAGCAAGGAAAAAAGCAAGATTGACATGCTAAAGGCCTTGATAAATGTATAACTTCATTTTTATAGTTATCCAAGATTTTCATTTCAAATGGTCGCGTTGGCCCACAGCAATTTCGTGTACAACAATCATTATCTTCAATAGCATAAAATACTTTTTGACCAGCATTATTTTTAATTGTATACTTGTTGTTGGTCTCAAACCCTATTAAGGCTATAATAACATATTATAAACATTTATAATTAGTATAATTTTCATATATTAAGAAGATTTGACAGTAAATGATTAATTTGATGAAAATACAATATCCTATTAAAGAATTAGATATACTAGAAATATATTTAACCAAACCCGGTATATAAAAAAAAGCATCATATCATTGAAATGGTTCATTATCCTGATGCAGGATAATTTTACACTAGTTCAGACCAATTAATTTTTAGACAGCATAATATTTAAATAGATATTACCAGGAGTTTTTTGGTAATCACGTTCATCTTCTTATCATTTCATTGTTTCTCACATTCAAGTGAACTGATTTTATGTGTAAACTCTAACAATTAGATTTTGTAGAATTATACCTTCTCATAAAAATGTCCTCCTAATAAAAAGTCACTATTTATTTTGACTAATATTATATTTTTTAAATATTGGAATTATTCCTCAGTTTCATATTGATATTACACATACAAATAGATTATATAAATGATTATTTAAATCTTCCAGTTGTAATTGAAAAGATAGTATGAATTGTATGTTAAAAGAATGTTATCAAATTAATAGAACATTTTAAATCTAATTAGTTATTCGAGTGTAAAACAAATTATTAGTTTTATCACAGATTATATAAAACTTTATTTATGTAATCTGTGGTTATATCTAATATGTTCCATCATAAGTACAACTGCTGGGTAGTTTTTAATATCAAATCATTCATGTATAAAATTATATAAATCAATATCACATAATTATTATGCTTATTGTAAAACAACTTTACAGATTGTATATTTTCAAAATAAATGTTAAAAAAAAATATCTAATATGTACCTAATTAATATTTGGTACACAATTAGTGTCTATAAAACATTTGTAATACTTTAAGCGTCTTGAAAACTTTATTGAAAAGATAGATAAATATAATTATTTAAAACCAATAGTTTCTATATTTTGTACTAAATCCAAAGACTTAAATAGTATGTAATAATATAATTATTTTACTTTTTACCTTCTATAAGTTCTACTTGCTGTTTAACAAGTAATTGATTAATTGTTGAAAGATACTGGAGTCCATTTGGACAGTTTTGTGGTACAGCTCTAGGAATAGGCATCCAACCATCTGTTAAATTATAAAATTTATATGTAAAAAATAATGAATAATTGGTTTATATTGCAATTAAAAATATTTGGCTGTCATTTATGCATTATACAGACAAACATGTTCTACCAGCAGTTGTCGGTCGTCTTCTGCTATAAGATGTTGACTACCGGCAGCACACGGTTTTTGCACTGTCTTAATTATGATCTTTGATAGATACATTCTAATCTTTTTTCTTTGTTAACACTTTATCTTATGGTAGCCTAATCTAAAAAAAATCTAACTATGATAAACCATTAGATATAATATTATAATATTATGAAAATAATAAAAATTAATAAAAAAGCGCTTGGCGGTTTTATGAATTACGTGGAGCGTAACTACAGTACCTTTCACGAGTTACAGTTACGCTCCCGGTGGCAAATTTTCGTGAGGGTTTCCTAAACGTGTGACTAAAACGGTACGGTAATATTTAAAAAAAAAAATTTGTAATTCAAAATTGCTGCGTATTGTGTGCACATTTGAGAAACCATGGAACACTGAAATTTCGCCCGCTGCGGCGTCGCTAGTTTTGTGAAACGTACTGATACAACGAGCGGTGCCTAACCAGCTCTTTATAATCGTGATGACAGCCAAATATTTTTTATTAGATAATGCATTGATAGACATTACTTGATTAACTTGTTTTGAGATTACAGTTTTAAATAAGTTTTTTTTTAAGTTAAATTATGAATTAACTTACCAGCTACTACTTGAGGAGATGGTTGATATGCGCCGGGTTGATGCTGAATGACTGGTCCATAACCTGATTGAACCTGTCCACCCTGTGAATATGGAGGTGGATAGTTTGGATTTTGAATTACAGAATACCCTTGATTTTGTTGTGGTGGCATTTGTTGTTGATGTTGATACATATTATATTGGTCATGTTGATATGGTTGAATTTGATTACCAACTGGTGGATATTGATTTTGATTACTGATTGGTGGATATTGCTTTTGATTGCCATCTGGTGGATATTGATTTGGATTACCAGCTGGTGGATATTGGTTTTGAGGTGAATGATATTGAGAAAATCCTAAGAAATAACATGTACTTAAAATTATTTTTTCCTTAAGTTAATGAAATAATCCTAAATTAAGCAGAGTTAATATTAAATTAATTACAATTTAAAGTATTTAAAACCAACAGAAATATTATTTATTAAAATATTTTTTTTCTAAAATTATACATATTTATCCTTATTATACCTGGTGGTGATGGTGCTACATTTGGATTCGTATACATTTGAATTTTTTGAGACATAAAAATATTCTGGAAAATTTTATAAAAATATAAAATTAGAAATTATATATATAATATATATTTCTGAGTACGTGCAAATTAAAACTAAACTAAATAATCTATACCAAGTTTTGCTTATACTTTATAATGAAATTATTTCAAAATAAATGTTGTGATTGTTGTCATGGTAATTCTACATCAACCACATAACTCACACATGACTCATGATCTCAAATTTCAATAGAGGCTCAAAAAAAATTTACCACTTACGCAGACTACCATGCTAATGCCAATGGGAATTAATGAAAAATGATTATGTAAAAGAAAATAGATATAAAAAAGAATTAAGAACAAATTTGACATAAAGTTAGTTTTGTAATGACCGATTTAATTAATTATTTGTATACACTATAATATAAATATTATATTAACATTTTTTATATAAATTAATATTTTGAAATGTATTCCAGAGTTAGCATGTGGGTAGTTCAAGATAAAAACCAAATGATTATAAATATATTTTACATTACAATGTTGAATGTTTTAAGTTGCCTAAATGTGTATTAGTTGAAACTAGACATTGCAAATAGGGTATAGCACCTTTGTAACACATTCAGTATATATTAATGTGTTATAACTTATAGTTATTAACATAATGGTAATGATATAATTAATATTTCTTGAGAACGAATTTCCATTCGCTGTCAAAATGATTTGAAAGACCAATATTATTACCTATTTAAATAAGACATAGGTAGTAAAGACCTGCAAGGGCCAGTGGTCCGACCTGGTCTGCAGTGACATTAGACCGGGGTTTTTTTTGTAAAATATTATGGATTGGGCTGGACTAGACTTTGAATAATATATCAAGGGTTGGACCGGGCTTTTTTAATTCTTGAAATTTTATTTTGGACCTTGAGTAACAAATCAAGGGTTTGACAGGGCTCTTTTCTTCGACAATAAATAATCATAATTTAAAATAATAAAAATAATGATAGAACCAACGTTGGTACAAATAGATACAATCATAATTATTAATGTAACAATATTTTTGATTAGTGGGTATGCTAAAGCTGTTTAAAGATAAAATAGAAATGGTAATTTGGAATATTTATAAAATATGCATTGCGTTTAACTGAAGAATACAAATTGCCAGTTGCTACAAAAACAGTCTACGGTACTATTGCTAGTGAACCCATGCCTTAAAAAAAATTTCGGGCCGGGCCTGGGTTTTTTTTTCACAATAGTTTTTGGACCGGGTCTGGTATATAAAATGTGCGGCCCTTGCAGGTTTAGAGTAGATACATATCATTATATACCTAATATAAAATGGTATAAATAGCTTAATAGATGATTTGACTGAAAAAAAGTAAATATAAATTGATGTTTTACCAAAATATTTGCACATAATCTCTGGCCAATAATAAAATATTTTTAACCTACAAAAATTATACCTAATTCAAGTTTTGAATTTCAATTCATTCAAAATTTAATTTAATTTAGAAGTTAATTTTTTTTTATCCAAAATCCAAATATGTTTGACATAATAAATCAGTAATTTTTTTATAAATAAGGTGTGGTGTGTAGATGTTGTGTTTATTCTATAGATATACATAATATAATTTTGTATGGGCATACAAATTAAAAATAGTTGCTCAAGCACTTGATTTCATTGTTACAACTGGTACAACAACGTTTTAGACTATGGAAATGTGGCCTATCTATAATTTTTGTTGTATAAATATACAATAGATCATAATATACAGAAACCATCGGTTTTTTTTTATCGGAACCATTTAAATTTTTTTTTTTTGGCACCCCGCCCGTATTTTATAAATAAAACTTGGACATTCAATACTAGGACTGGTGAGACTTGTAAAACAATTTATGACATTTTCACAAGACTGACAATAAAATTCTGCATAGAAAATCGACCGAAAAATATGACATCACCTAAAAAAAATTTAATCTCGCCATGTATGTCGTACGATTGTACCTGTTGCGAGTGGGAGCAATCGTATAGTAAACACCGTATACCTAATAAACAATTAGAAATTGCAATGTACATAATTACATTAAAATAATAATATCACGTTATTGTAATAATTATGATTGATACAAATACGATAGTGAGGACTTATTTATGTACAATTTATAATAATATATTATGTTTTTACGCGTCGGTATATATTTCACACAGATAACCGCTTCGCAAAAAATAACGATTGGATATACATTATAATATAACTCTTGTACGACGACTCTATCCGGAAGGCAAAATACAAATAAATATCAAACTCAAACAATTTAAATTATAAAATTTATAATAAGACTACAGATCGGCATGTCACCTTACCTCGGGAATCGGAACGAAGTACGCACAACGTATACAAGCACAATTTCCACAACGAACCGCGACAAGTCACCCGGTCGCCGTCGTTCACAGCACTGCCCACTGGGTACCGATTTACTATTTCACTGTCCAAAATCCATATGCCCCATGTACAGAGAGTGGAGAGTGGTCTGAGTCACTCACTCATTTCACAATATCAGAATAATTTGTCTTTTATCATTATCTCGTGTAAAATGTAAATAATATTATTATCGGGAGGGCGGCACCGTAGATAATAATTATATCTAAACTAGACGTAGCCTAGTATAATCAATAGTGTTAGGGCTCGTTTACACAGTGACAGTAAGTTGTACTGCCATGATTTATATGACCACATATGACTCTACTGCCATATGATTATTCGACAGTTACCGTCATATTATGATTATCCGACAGCTACTGCCATGCTCATGCAGTTGGGTAAAAATTGTATCTATAATAATAGAATAATCGAATAATCGAATAATTATAGATAATTATTCGAATAAAAGATTATTTGAAATGATTTTTTACAATTATTCGAATAATTTAAAAACATTTATTTTTTTATTTTGAGTTTTTCGACATCTTAGATCATTAGCCTGTAATAATTACATAGTATAGTATCTATTGGTGTTAAAACTTAAAACTATAGGAATAGTTACAGTAGTGAGTAGAGGGAGTTTGTGAAATAAACCTATATTAATGCATTTTTTTTTTACAGTAATTTTGCTAAGCCTGTACTATTGTGAAAAAATTGTATAATATGTTCTCTTCTCCAAGTGCTCTAAGCCCTGATTGGGAGGGGGATGGTCGGATGGATATGTCTGGTTTTCGTCGGAAGGATGATTTGGAAAAGGATGTCAGCAAATTTGGTAATCTTGGTCTTGATTTTCTGTCAATTGTTTGAATTAGTTTCTTTTTGTTGTGCCGGACCCTTTACAGAAATCTTGGATGTTAACACATTTGTGTTGACACGTTTGTTGGAGGCAGGGGCGGAACTAGGGGGGTGAAGCCGGGGATTGATCCCCGGGCGTAAAATTTTAGTGGGCGTAATTTTTCTTTAGTTCTTTATTTAATGCTTGGTGATAGAAGTTAAGAAAACATTTTTATTTCACATTATTTGTTTATGATGTTGTAGTGATGATGTTGGAATTAATGAAAAAAAAAAAAATAAAGTTAATGGTAAGATTATGAATAGATTCGTATTAGTATATTAAGTATAATATACTGGTATACTGGCATTAGCATACCTACTGCAAGCATATACAACTAATATACTATAATTATTAAGATTCTGAGTGAAAATGTAACTAGTAACTATACCTAGGCATTTATTGATGCTGTGTTTTCGTTAAAATTTCTGATATACCTACACAATAACTGTTATAAGATTATCAATCAACGTACGATACGTATAATATTATATCTGTATATTAAAAATGATGTTAATATATTATAATAGTAATATATTTACCAAGATATTAGATAGTTATACATTTGTTTATGTTTAAAAAAAAAAGATTTGATTTTAAATATTTACTTTTTCATTTTTTCTATTATAAATTGTTTAATTAAATACAATTTTTACTGGCCTAAGTGTGTACCCTAATCAAAATAAAAGATTTTATATTTTACCATAAAAATCTATTATGATTGAAGGCTGAGGCGCATAGAACCAAAGCAGCAAAAGTGTTTACAATTTTATACAGGATAGGTAGGTAATTAAAGTTTTGATTATTTTTCAACATTTATATATAACTAATATTATTATTATTTCTAATAATAAATACAATTAAGTAATCAATACAGTATTTCCAGTAATTAAAAATGTATCAACAATATGTTGACTAAGTTTTTAAATTTAAAGTGTTTTTGGTGTGATAGTTTATTAGTATAAACTTGGTTACACCACAGTCCACAGAATATATTAATTATTATATATTATTATGTGTTTAAAAGTTAATCAGTATGTTTGTAATTTTAGTTCCAGTTATGATAAAACAATTGTAGGGAATGATATTGTATTTTCAATCTTGGTCTATGATTGGGCTTAATTTTAATATTTTCCCCGGGCGTAAAAATTCTTAGTTCCGCCTCTGGCGCCTTGGAGGAGTTTTTTTTTAAATGTTGATGAACTGGCTTTTATTAAAAACATAAATATTAAAGACGTTATTGTCGTTATTACTTATTATTGTACCTCGTATTAAGTAAATAGTCGAGTTTCAGACGTTTCAGTTTTATTTACTCAGGTACGTATCTAAGGGGGGGCAGGGTGTGCCTGGCTCACCGCCCACCCTATTATGTGTCCGGCCTTAGGTCGGCCCACCCAAAGTATTCAGAGGGACCCATTATTATACGGTGGCTTTTAATATTGTATAAATATTACACAAATAAAACCAAATATATCGGGTCTTAATTAGAATCTAAAATAAGTTACCTACCTAACTAAATTCAATCCATGTCCATTTGTGGAATAAAATATGTATACTGTATTACATTTAATTTCTGTTGCTACCAAGAATCGGTGATAATTTATTTTTATATGTCATAATATCGTTATAATTATTAATTTAATTGTATTAGTAATTAGGAAATAATTGCTATTTAAAGCCCAATACTGGTACCATACTATATAGTATACTATATA